CGGGGCACTGACCTGGAGGTTGGAGAGTTGCGTGAAGGCCTTTTCGCAGCCGGGGTGCGGGCACTTGTAGGGTCTGTCGCCGGTGTGGATTCTGGGGGAGGGGGTAGGGGAGAAGGTCAGGTCACCATCCCCCAAGCCCGGGGACCCCACCGTGGGTGGAGGGGGGTCACACCAGGGATGGGGACCGTGGTGGGCGCAGCGGTGTGGGAGACATGGGGCTGAGAGCCGAGGGGTTCGGAGATGAGGGTGGTGGGGATGACGGGAGGTGGTGGGGACAAGGTGCTGGAGATGATGAGTGTGGTGGGGATGATGAGCACGGTGGATTGATGGAGGTGGTGGAGATGATGAAGGCAGTGGGGACAGACTGGTGTGGTGGGGACAGATGAGCATGGTGGGGTCAATGAAGGTGGTGGAGATGATGAGCAAGATGGGGACAGTGAGGGTGCCAGAGATGATGAGCATGGTGGGGATGATGAAGGTGGCGGGGACAAGGTGCTGGAGATGATGAGTGTGGTGGGGACGATGAGCATGGTGGCATTGATGGAGGTGGCGGAGATAATGAAGGCAGTGGGGACGGACTGGTGTGGTGGGGACAGAAGAGCATGGTGGGGTCAATGAAGGTGGTGGAGATGATGAGCATGGTAGGGACAGTGAAGGTGCAGGAGATGATGAGCGTGGTGGGGATGATGAAGGTGGCAGAGACGATGAAGGCAGTGGGGACAGATTGCTGTGGTGGCAACAATGACAGTGGTTGGCTCAATGAAGGTGCTGGAGATGACGAATGTGATGGGGATGGTGAAGGCAGTGGGGACCATAAGCGTGGCAGGGGATGAATAAGGTGGTAGGGACAATGAGCACAGTGGAGATGGATGAGTGCGGTGGGGACAATGAAGGTGGTTGGGACAGGTTGGCACAGTGAGTACAATGAGTGTGGTGGGCTCAGTGAAGATAGTGGAGGTCATGAGCGTGGTGGGGTCAGTGAAGGTGGTGGAGACACGGTGCTGGAGATGATGAGTATGGTGGGGACAATGAAGGCAGCGGGGACCATAAGCATGGCAAGTATAGATGAGTGTGGCAGGGATGAAGAAGGTGGTGGGGATGATGAGCGCAGTGGAGATGGACGAGTGTGGTGGGGACAATAAAGGTGCTGGATACGACTGGGCTCAACGATCTTAAAGGTCTTTTCCAACCTAAATGATTCTGTAACTCTATGATGAGCATGGTGGGGTCGATGAAGGTAGTGGATGGAGATGATGAGCATGGCAGGGATGAAAAAGGCAGTGGCGATGGACAAGTGGTGGGGACAATGAAGGTGCTGGAGATGATGAGTGTGGTGGGGATGATGAGGGCAGTGGGGACAGACTGGCATAGCAGGGATGGATGAGCGTGGTGGGGATGAAGGCAGCGGGAATGATGAGTGGTGGGGTCAATGAAAAGTGCTGGAGATGACGAGTGTGGTGGGGACAGTGAGGGTGTTGGAGGTGATGAGTGTGGTGGGTACGATGAGGGCAGTGAGGACAGACTGGCGTAGGGGGATGGATGAGCATGGTGGGGATTATGAGTGGTAGGGGCAATGAAAAGTGCTGGAGATGATGAGTGTGGTGGGGGTGATGAGGGCAGTGGGGACAGACTGGCGTAGTGGGGATGGATGAGCGTGGTGGGGATGATGAAGGCAGCGGGGATGATGAGAGCAGTGGGGTCAATGAAAAGTGCTGGAGATGATGAGCATGGTGGGGACAGTGAGGGTGCTGGAGGTGATGAGTGTGGTGGGGATGATGAGGGCAGTGGGGACAGACTGGCGTAGTGGGGATGGATGAGCGTGGTGGGGATGATGAAGGCAGCGGGGATGATGAGAGCAGTGGGGTCAATGAAAAGTGCTGGAGATGATGAGCATGGTGGGGACAGTGAGAGTGCTGGAGGTGATGAGTGTGGTGGGGATGATGAGGGCAGTGGGGACAGACTGGTGTAGTTGCGATGGATGAGCATGGTGGGGATGATGAGTGTGGTGGGGACAATGAAGGTGGTGGAGATGATGAGCATGGTGGGGATTACAAAGACAATGGGGACAGTAAGTGTGGTGGGGATGGATGAGCACGGCGGGGATGAAGAAGGCAGTGGGGACAACGAGCGCAGCGGGATGAGCGTGGCACAAGAGACGCTGGGTGGACACCCAACCACCCCCTAAGGGACGACGGGGCCGAAGGCCACCCTCCCACTCTCCCAGGGCCCTCCCCGGCTGGTGAGCTTCACCTGGTGTGCTGCTGGAGGTGGGACAGCTGGCGGAAGGACTTCTCGCAGTAGGAGCAGTGGTAGGGTTTGACGCCCAGGTGGATGCGCAGGTGCTGGGCCAGGTAGGAGGCGTTGGCGAAGGATTTGGAGCAATGGGGGCACTTGTGGGGCTTGGCCTCTGTGTGCGACTTGGAGTGGATCTGCATCTCCGACTTGGTGAAGAACGTCAAGGGGCAGACCTTACACCTGGAGAGGGGGGCGCGGAGAACCCCGCAGGGACCGGGCTGGGGCTGGGCACCCCCACCATCACCCCGGCCCCCCGCCCCGCGCGGGTGGGTGGGACCTGTACGTCTTCCCCTCTTTGGCGGTCTCCCCCGAGGCCAGGATGGGATAGGGCACCACCAGGACCGGCGGTCCCGAGGGATTTTCCGCTTTGATCTTCTTACGGCCTCGTTCCGCCTTGGGTGCCCCCAACAAACCGTGGCCCTGGATTGTCTTTATGGAGTCGAGGAGGGGGGGGCTGGTGATTCCTGAG